CTGATACACCAGGTTACTAATAACAGGTCATGAAAGGTATTTGGTAGCAACCTGTTGCAACTGAACCCCAGTACAGTTTGGTGGGTCCTAGAAAGGATTACTGTCTGATGGTTCTTGGCATGGCCAGTGTGAGAGAAATTAATGCCTTAATTCAGTTCCATGGGAGCAAATTTCCTCAGCTGAAAAATAAAATGTCAAAGCAGTTTGCCATAATCAGAATTGGCAATGCTCTTCCCCTTTGTTAGTGACCGTTATTATTTCTTTATTTCTAATTTCCACTGAGTGCTATTATTAATCCCCCAAGAGTGGTAGCTAAAAAAAAGTGCACAGATAACGTACAAACCTGCCAATTCCTGTGAAAACTACAGCCTGACTTCATACCATGCCCTTTCCTTAACGAGAACCAGGCTGTCGGGGTAAGAGCGGTGAAAGTGTGCAGAGGGAGGGGGCTTGGTGCAGGGCCAGGGGTGATTGAAGGGGCAAGAGACAGAGAGAAGTTATACTGGTTGCATTTGCTAAAACTGTCTCTGATTATCAAGTTAAACATTACCACCCTACTTAGCGAAAAATGCAACCATGTGTTACAAAGACCCAACTTTTGTTCACCTGATGTGCTGAGTTTGGGCTTGTATAATCCTAGATCCAAGGTTTCCATTCAGATTTATAGGTATAAACTGGTTGGTCAAACGTTAAAGACAAGATTTGACTGAGATAGAAATAGCATTCACTGTAGTGCTGAATCTGAACTGAGGGTTTCTGAGAGAGAAAAAGAGGGAACCGGAGCTTGAGCCCGAGCCCGAGCCTGAGGGCAGGCCCCGTGCGCTGCTCCAGCTTCCCTGAGTGCTGCCGCCGCCCTGGGGAAGGGCAATCCTTCGGCGTCCAAAGAGCCATTGTTGTTTTGTGGTACATCTCTAAAAAGAAAAAAAAAAGCAAAGTGTTTTCATTATACTGCAGATGACAATATCTTTGTTTTATTGGTATGTTTTAGAGAGAATTAATGTTTTAAAATAAATTCTAAAAGTCAGCCAACCAAAGCGATACACAATAATGAGGACAAAAACTACCTCAGTTCTGTCTTTGCACCTTTGTGTAACATCCTATTTGGTCTCATGCTAGTTGAGCTATAAATCTAAATACATAAGCTACATGTAAGCTTATCTAGTTCCTGTAGACCTAGGTAAAAGCCTAAGAATATAGTTTTAAATGTGGATCTTATTTGCAGTCTGCTATGCTGATGTAAACTGGGGTTTTTTTCTGAGCTGAGCTAGCAGCAAGACTTTTAACCATTAGCATGCGGAAAACCCCTCCCAGAGCCTGTGAGGGCATTGCATCCATTTCCTCCCCAGTCCCAGGAACTTCCCTAAGTTCCTTCAAGGTGCTGAAAGTCTTTTTTAATTGCTGCGCACCTTCAGTCCTTCCCCCGGTGAAGAATGGGTAGTGGGGCTTAAGTGTATTTTGCTGTTTGGCGCTCACCTTTTTTTAC